CCTCGCAGATGAAAGGCGATCGATTTGTTCCAGAGCTTTGGAAGAGGACAAAGACAAGAAGAATAGTCGATAGAAACTTGAAAGTGATGCCGAAATATATGCATTTTTATGATAGCGGATGTGGTTCCACATTTAGTAGGGGCCAACTTGCAGTACTCTCCAGCGTTTATGTATGTGCAGCTGAGAACAGATTTCATGCCCCGAGAGGGTTGTTTTTACTTGTGAGTTGGGGTATGAAAATATAACGTCACTGATGGTTATGGACGGTGAATGGGAAGCGACTACCTGCAACGCTTTATTTTGTAAAGTTAATGAAACGTCAACAATACAGCTTCAGTTGCTTGGATATCCAGTCCATTTGCGACATTATCGTTCGATGCTACTAGTGCCCCGCTGACCTTACCATCATTCGTCTCATAAGTTTGTCCGCCCCATGTCAAACCTGACGTATCATCCGCATGCCTATTTGAAAGTTAACAACAATTACCTGAATGTTCACGAGACGATATACTCAATGATAAGGCGCTTAGTGGTAAACATTGTTGGAGCCACAATATCATTTCCTGTAAACCCCATATCAAGATGGATGCTCCTTCGGGCTGTGGCGTTACTTTTTAGAAAAGCCTCAGAGTTGATGAAGATGGTGCGCACGAGGCGCGTTCTATCGTAGAAAGCATATCCAGAGATCCGCGAATCGTCAATGGCAAGCTCGACTGCATGCATGTCGCGACCTTTGCCGACGGCCTCCGCAGCGACGATCGCAGCATAATATTGTGGTTGTATATGTGCAGGAATGGGGGCGGGTAAAGAAGATCCGTCCAAAATAGATCGCGTTAGTGCGATAGGTTGGATCTGGAAAGAAACATGACTTGTAAAAGAAAAACCCCGAGAGTTAGGATTGCCCTCACCAAGTTGTATTTATAGCCTATACCCTCATGAAAGAACACCCTAGAGATGCCAATTTGGGTTCTGGTTGGGCGTATGAGCTTCTATTAAAGAAGATACCTGGGCATACTTACGCGAATAGGACATAGTCCAATGCCCACAGCGCAGCACCTGCACTGTTACTGACCCCTGGTGCACCCTAGAGCGAATTAGATACCAGCATCTAAACAAGCGTCGTACTCACATGGCACGAATAGCTATTGGTTTCCCCAAAAACATATTCGAGACCAGTCTCTCGTACAGCAGCTATATCAGGAGAATATGCAGATAAATTTCCTCGGATGGTAGGTTTCGACATTAAGTCCTGGAGGAGTCCTTCGCTTCCTGTGCAGAAAGATCCGCTGTAATGATGTTGAGATATCCTATAATACAAAAAGTTCTAATCAGGGAGAAAAAAATATCATATAGGTTTAAATACAGACGTAGATATTGCGGATCCGGTCTCTGATAAAAGTAAACCCTCGTTGATCGCGGCCTGCGGGGAAAAGCCAGTTATAGAATGTGATGAACCGGCACCAGCAAATGCGACACCCCAGAACTTTGTGGTTGAGTTCGCCGTAATTCCCATAGTAGCAGAAATATTTGTCGCGAATGCTGTCCACCTAAAAGGCAATGAGCGAAATTAGAGATCATAAAGTAAAATAACTCGCTCTCCAACGTATTGAGCAGTTGTGTAATTCTGGGGCCTTGCTCCATTGTTTGGATAGAGATTTGCTTCATTTCCAATCTCGATTGAGTCCAAGATGATTCCAGCGCGTTTAATCGCCGGAGAAGAGAAAGCCTTGACAATTGATTTGGCTTCGAGAAATGCCGCGGTGATATTGTTCTGACCTAAATTCAAGCCCCAGGTCACACGAGTATCTATTCCATGATTAAAGCTTTACTGATCTATAAGAAAATAGGGCCTACTTGGAGGAAGGAACTTGGTAGATTCATAGTAAGAATCTCCAACGGTTATGTTACTGGCTTCTGGGTATGGAACAGTGGTGGTGATAGCGGGGAAGATAGCTTCGGAAAACTAAATCCACCTAGTTAATTATTCAAGCGATTTATTTATAACTATGCTTAGGATTGACCTGGAGGCCCGGATTGAAGTTGGTGTGATCTTCGCTATTGGCACCAATTCGGATGCGAGAAGGTACACCGGATATATGATTCAGGTTGTTGAGGGTATTGAAGAAGAACTGGTTCCTTGATGTCGTGCCGACCCAGTCTGTCCAACGGTCTTGTTCAATGGAGAAAGAAACAAGAGGAGGTTTGACGATAGGTGCAATGGATGGTGCGACCAAGGGAATATGAACCGTGAGACCAAGAACTAGATTACTGGATAGTAAAGTGTAAGCGAGGATAATGAAAAGCATACTCAAACACTAACATCTTCTGGGCCTTCTTTCCTTGATTATATACACTTGACCACCATCAAGAATTCGTTCGCTGAGGGTGGAAGGTCTATAAATATCGTATTTTTAGAGGGCTTCCAAAACATGGCATAAGGTTCTCGCTTCAGGTGACAAGCCCCGTGTTCGATATTTGAGCAACGAATATGATGCATAGAGGCTAAGAGGTGATCTTGGAAAGGCGACAAACTAATCTGGTTAAGTTGTTATTCCGCGTGCATTGCGCTCGTAAGACTCGGAGCGCCGTTCCATCGTGCGGTTTGTGCGTCCCCAGATTTTTCCTGATGAGTGTCATGGCAGAAATTCAACATAATTTTGGTTCGCGGCTCGCCGATTCGCTTCACCCGGGAGCACTAAGGGTGAGTTCGGATGGGGAGGTAGGTAAATCCGTAGAATTGTCGTTTAACGTCTTCAAGTATAATTGTTGGAGGTCTGACAGACTGGCACAAGTACAACCGCGGTGCAACCAGAGATCACGTGCATCAATTACACCTTTCGCACCCCAATCCTCCGTTCCGTCGTGAACTCTTTATACCATGGGTCTCTTATTGTCCCTTCCAATAGCCAGTGGGCTTACAACCATTTTAACATCATGTCTCGCCGGTGTAGCATTCTGTTTCACTTCTACTGCAGGCAAGTCACTCCGAAGGTGATATTGCTCAACTTCGTACTTACCCCGCAGCAGCTTCCATGTTCTTCAAATCATGCAATTGCAACTCTTCTATTGCAACCCGTGTTGGTTTTGCGGTGTGTACCCATGAAGAGCTTTTCTCTATTATCCTGAACCTCGCTCATTCAGATAATCTTTTCGCTCAACTCAATATTAGCATGGATAATGAAAACAGACTTGGCTATAAGGCAGATCGAGAAATGGAGCTTTGATTATATCAAAATGGACTGTAAAGAGGAGAAATGTTACGGAGTTCTAGCTGTGAGTGACTGTTCTCGGCAACTGTCGCATGACCTGACCACCCCCAGATACACCGCATCTGCTTCGCACTTTCCCTTTTCCACCTTATCCTCAGTTCTTCCCTCATCGGCGTGAAAGACACTCGTGACAAACGTGCCGCTATCCAGAATGGGTGTGTATCTTTTATCTTCCTGTGAAACAAAGTTGATGTTTGGTGTGCGACTCAGATGGTGGGGTCCGAAAGTACTTCTTTGGTTCATTCTTATCGGAGTTTCCTTCTTCATCCCAAATGGTTTCTTCATGTTCTGGGGAAACTACGTTTCGTTAGTCGGCGCAACTATATTCATTTTACTTGGTCTTGTGCTTTTGGTCGATTTTGCTCACTCTTGGTCTGAAACTTGCCTCGAGAACTGGGAGAACTCTCCAACATCGTCGAACCTTTGGCAGTGGATTCTCATCGGATCGACTGCAGCCATGTACGCATTCACCATCACGCTTACTGGCCTCTTGTACGCCTATTTCGCAGGCTCAGACTGCATCCTAAATCGATTCTTCATTTCTTTCAACCTCGCCCTCTGCATCGTGATCACCATCATGTGTGTACACCCATTGGTCCAGGAATACAATCCTCGCTCTGGCTTAGCCCAATCAGGAATGGTTGCGGCCTATTGCACATACCTCATCGTCTCTGCAGTTAGCAACCACACTCATGAGACCCAGTCTTGCAATCCTCTACGAAAGAACGGCGATACAGCCCAGGGTACTCGCAAGGCGGTCATGATTCTTGGTGGTGTTTTCACATTCTTGGCAATTGCTTATTCGACGACGCGAGCAGCAACACAAAGTCGAGCACTGGTCGGTAAAGGAAAAAAAGGTCGTGTGCAGTTGCCTGAAGATGATATAAATGGACACTCGGAGCTAGGGATCGTAAATACGCAACCCGGGAGAACAGAGTCCCCCAGATACCAAGCTCTTCTCGCTGCTGTCAACGCCGGGTCTGCCTTTTGCTTTTTTTCAGTGTCCCCCTTTCTCATGACTTGATATCAGTGCCATACCTGCTTCAGCTTTGGATGAAGAAGATTCAGATGATGAAGACGAAGGTACTGGTGAAGGGCGAGATGACGAACGATCAGGAACGCGTTACAATGTTGGTCTAACTGTTACTTCCGTTTCTTTCGCCGTTGAACTTTGATGTTGATAGTACTCCTGGTTCCACATTATTTTTGCTATCGCAGCGATGTATGTCGCGATGCTTTTAACTGATTGGTTTGTGCATGTCCATATTGTGCTATCAGGTGATTAACACAGATTACCACCTAGGAATATTGTTTCCAAAACTCCTATCTCAGGACCTGTCGACCCGGACTCGGACGTCTACATCGGCCGATCGGAGGTCGCTATGTGGATGCGCGTTGTGTCGAGTTGGGTCTGTATGCTTTTATACATTTGGAGCCTTGTGGCACCAGTCTTGATGCCTGAGAGGTCCGCTCCTTCACTTCCGCACATGATTATCTTGGCTGATCTTTCCGACCCATAGATTTGAGGATCTTTGAGGATGACGTTTATTTATCAATACCTGTAGTCAACAATTGTTACAACAATTTGTCCTCCTATAATGATGCCCGTGGGCCCTAATCGTCAATACGTTATACGTTATAACAAGCGTTTGTAAGCCAAAACATCTGTCCATAATGAGAATACGAACAACTTGATATGGCTTCCACAGCAGTAGGGGGTTCCAAAAAGATTGCATTAAGAGGGAATCGAACCCCCGGCGGGTCGAACCGCGCTAAGTGGCAACGACCCAGGTTACCACTACCCCATTAATGCTTATAATCCTTAGCTTGGACAAGCTATGTGTATACTTTTGAATGGAAGTATCTTGTACTCCCATCTTTGTCCTCCGATACCGTACATCTTCCTTAACTGCACCAATCAGAGAACACTTGGTTGGATGTTCCTTTGATACTTTTCACACTGGAATAATCAGGTTCACTTGGCAGGAACAGCCAGATCTTATCAGATCAAATTCACATCTGATTTTTTTTTGAATCACCATCAGTATACCAAAGCCCATCCGGCAAAATGATGTATCCTCCGTTTTATGGGCTCGTCGTACCGTCCATATTTTTTTTTTTTTAATTCTCCCTTACCTTTCCCTGTAAATCGCAGAAAGGACGCGTCTGGTATCGCAGGAGGTCGTGATACATCATTATTTTAACGAAACTCAAACCTACCTCCGGGGTACAAGGATGGAACCCTTACCAGGAACAATTGTTATGCCGACATTCTATAGAACCGAACTAAATTTGCATGTATCCCTATATTGTTTTCGTCCTGGTTTTCGCTGATATTTTCAAATGACTTCCAGTGAATTAATTTTTTCAGTCCTCTTTGCCGTCGGTTCAGCATTAATCCTGTCAACTAAGACGATTATTGGAATGAAGGAGCATCCACGAGGAAATACGGAACCTGAACACATGGCAGCACGCATCACCGAAAATACTGTGACTTGGCCCATGTATGACATGACGCGTCTCGTTGGGTGCCTTATCCTCAGTGGCTTGAGTACTTTTACTGCCTTAATGCAACAAGATTGGTCCCAGATTTATATGCCATTGATCCATGTCCGTACTTGCCCTGATAAAAGTTATTCAATTTACTGAACATCACTTAAAAGCTTTACACCGTTCTGTTGGCACTTGTATCACTCAGAAATGATGCCCGTAGGAAGTCCATTGTTAAAAAACATCTAAATATCGTTTTGTTTGTGAATCTCTTCGTCTACACATATCGAGACCTGTATCCTCTGGCGACATTCACACTGACTCCACACGACATCGCGGAGGGATCGATTTTATGGCTGAAGATTATAATTCTGATAGGTATTGGCCTGGTAATTCCTGTCATAACCCCTCGGGGTCACACGTGTATTGACTATCAGGTAACACATATCGTACATATACTTTGATTTCGAATTTACACTTTTACCTATAGGACTCCTTCGTCAACGTGAATCCCGAACAGACCGCATCTGTATGGTCTCTCTTGACATATTCGTTCATGGATCCCATCATCTTCCTAGCTTCCAAAGTATCTCATTTATCACACGAGACATTGCCGCCTCTCGCGAAATATGATCATGCAGAACATCTAAAGAGAAGGTATTTCCGTGTAAGTCCGTTTTATTGCGGATCAAGAATATAACCTATAACTTATCACATCTGCCCCCAGGCGCTCAATATGAACAAGAAGCGTCACATTTTTTGGAATCTATTCTATATTTTCCAGGGAGAATATATCAAGATGTTATTTTTACTTGTCGCACAAGCAATCGCGAGCTTCTCTTCACCTTTGGGGATAAACAGACTCTTACAGTAAGATCTTTATTTGACCCCATCACTAAATGTGTTATAATTTGGGGAGCAGTTACATTGAAACTGGGGGCCGGGAATCATACTTTCGGCCGTGGTTTTGGGTCCTTTGGCTGTTCATGGGCCCATTCGTTAGCTCTATCACTCTCCAGTGGTACACATATCTTGCCGTGAGCAATAATCATCCTCCTCCCAAAAACAAATCTCACATTGCCTCAGTCTAGAACTATAGCCCAGGTTGAGGCCATTGTTACTCAGCTCGTTTTTGAGCACTCCCTTTGCATTCGATTAAAAGCAGAAACACCAAACGAAGACTCTATTAAAGGCATTGTACCTAAGAATAATTTATATGCGGTCCCACAGGAAGACGATTCGGAGAGTTTGACCGCATCTGCTGGCCAACCTTCGATGGTGAAGTGCCCAGTGTCAAGTAACCTTATTGGGAAAATCAACAACCTTGTTACTACAGATATGGCGAACATGAGAGAGGCGAGGGATTTTATGAGTATCCTGATTTATATTCCGTTGCACATTTTGTTTGCAACTTGGTTTCTCTATGTCATCCTCGGTTGGAGGTGTGACTTCCCTTTACCGTCTTGTTCAGTCTCCTTAAATCTTATTTAGCGCCTTCGTTGGTTTAGCAGTGATTGTTGGGCTGTTTCCCTTTCCTGGATATATTACAAGCCAAATTCAAGCTGTCGAAGCCTCGAGGATGAAGCGAACTGACGCCCGAGTTCAAATAGTGACCGAAAGTAAGTAATGTCCTTCAAGCAACCAAGAAGTCTCATCCAATCTACTTACAGTTATGAATGTCATCCGCATGATCAAATTGTTCGGCTGGGAAAGAAATATGAACCAAAAAATAGAAGAAAAACGAGACGAGGAACTAATATGGATGTGGAAACGTCAGGTTCTCAACCTCACGAAGGGATTGCTGAAGTATGTACAACCTTCACAACACATTGCTTTACTTAAGGTGTACTCGTAGTTTCCTAATTCCCGTAGTGACAATGATAGCAACATATGCTACCTAGTAAGTTGTTCGCTTCTCAGTATTATCGGGAGCTAACACGTCTTCCTCCAAGTGTTGGTACCATCCTGTCCTATTTTAGGTGTTACTTACTCCCTCAATCCAGACACTCATCATGAAGCAAGACCTGAATGCTTCCAAGGTATTTAGTTCAATGGCGGTGTTCGACATTCTTCGCGGTCAGCTCCACCTTGTGTTCCACACCGTCGCGCACATTGTTACAGGAAAAGTCTCAATTGATCGGATCGACGACTTCCTGCAAAATGTTCGTTCCTTTCATATAAAAAATTGTGGCATTAATAGACGGCAATACAGACAGAACTTTTGGACCAATACCTCCTCCGCGCGTCAACGATCGCTCAAGTTCCTTCTGACGATACCATTGGTTTTCGGAGCGCAGCATTCACTTGGTCTGCAGATAATGGAAAGCAGGTTGGCTCACCACAACGCCCGTTTAATCTACAAATTCCTGGTGAACTTAGGTTCGAACATGGGTGCATCAACCTGATTACCGGGCCTACCGGTTCTGGGAAAACGTCACTCCTCATGGCTTTACTTGGTGGGCCCATCGCGTCGAATGTTCTATTTTTTAATTGATTGTGTGTCATTTAGGGGAGATGTATTATTTGCCTTCTGGTGCAGACTCTTGGTACAATCTTCCGCGCCACAATGGTGTAGCATACGCGGCCCAGGAATCATGGGTGCTCAATGCAACTATTAAAGTGCGTCTTCACTAATCAGGCCTCACTTTTTCTGAACGACTATCAGGAAAATATCATATTTGGTGCCCCCCTTGACGAGAATCGTTATCAAAAAGTAATCTATCAATGTTGTTTGGAACGTGACCTTACTCTTCTCGGAGCCGGCGATCAAACCGAGGTGGGGGAAAAGGGCGTTACCCTTAGCGGTGGCCAAAAAGCTCGAGTCACCCTTGCCCGTGCAATATATTCGCAGGCACAAACCCTCTTGCTGGATGACGTTTTTGCGGCACTCGAGTAGGTAACAAGTGTCCGGTTTCTTGGCGCAATCTAAATATCATCTTTTTTTAGTGTACACACCACGAAATGGATTATTGAGAAATGCATTGCCGGAGATCTGGTAAAAGGTCGAACAATATTACTCGTCGTATGTGTATACTACCCTTCATTTGTTACTAACCAACAACATGAAGTAGACCCACAACTTCACCTTGATGGCCCCAATTGCTGATTTCGTGGTGACGATTGGGTTGGACGGCGGGATATCTAGCAGGCACGCCCAATCAGGAAAATCGAACATTGCTCAAAGTCTAGAAGGTCAAGAGGCCCCGTCTAACTCTAGAGTCATGGATGCGTTGTCTTTTGATAAGGAGGAAAAGCCGGATGGGAAGTTGGTCTCTGCAGAGGAAATTGAAGTCGGAAATATTAGCTGGGAAGCTTGTGCGTACCCATGACCCGACATTATCGCTTTCGCTAAGAAATGGAAATCAGTAAAACTTTACTTCTCAGGCCTTGGGGGAAATCACCCTTTCTTATTTTTCTTCACATTCACTGGTGGGATTATCTTAAGCGAGTTTTTATTTACGGGGCAAACGTGGTATCTTGGTCATTGGGCTTCGCAGTACGACAATGGCAACCATGATGTGGCAGTTTTTCAGTCAGTCGTTTTTTCCCCGCCTTTCTTTATGCTAACAGATTTGCATAGTTACCTGAAAATTTATGGCGAGGCATCTTATCTCTGATCCATCATATTTATTAACATGATCTTTGTAATCAGGAGTTTTGTTATTCTTGGCCTTGGCCGTCTTTTTCACAGCCTGTGTGGTGTATACTTTCGGAACTTTGAGAGCATCAAGGGCAATTCACAAGCAACTTGTAACCTCTGTTCTCGGCACTACCCTTAGGTATACTTTAGCCAGTAAATTTGATGAGATATACTTACACTCCATCAGATGGCTCGACACTACACCAACATCGAGAGTGATCACAAGGTGTACACAAGATATTGGGGCAGGTAAGTCGTTGAAAACCAGCATCCGCTCGATGCCGATACCCATTAATATAGTCGATGGACCCATCGCCGGAATGATACAGTGGCTATCAGAACTAACGATTGCGATGCTTGTAAAGCTTGGGGCCGTTGTGATCCTAACACCCATATTTTTTGGACCCGGAATCACTGTGGCTTTAGTTGGGGGGTGGTGTTGCCGAATTTATATGGCTGCGCAACTTTCGGTGAAACGCGAGATGTCCAACGCTAAAACACCCATCCTTGGACAGTAAGTTGTTAAACATCCCTTCTACAACGCTGATGTAACATACACTTAGCTTTGGGACCACTTTATCGGGACTAGGTGTGTGCGTTCGTTCTGTTTTTGTGGTTATGCTAAAGCTTCTACAGTCTCTATCCGTGCATATGGAGCTCAAAAGTCTTTCATTATAGAATCG